TGCCATTCCAAAAGGTATACACAGGAGGATACAAACCATTAGGGCCAAAACAAGTCCAAAATCCAGCAAGGCAAACATTAAGTCCTGCAGGTCCTTGTGGAACATCTGAAGCAATCTGTGGCAAATTGTGAACTCCATGTGGCTCCGCCCCTATGACACTCTTGGTGGGACCTCCCATGGCTTCTCTCTTATGCCGGCTTTGCTTCCTCTTTGCAGTGTCTCTTAGATGATCCATTTTCCTGGCTTTTAAAAAGTTCTGGGGTTTCCACAGAATAGGCTTCTCACTCACAGCTTCACACACTGCCTGGCCTCCCAGGCCTTCTTCTGAAATTGAGGTGGAAGCCTTCTTAACCTCAGAACTCCTGTATTCTACATGGACCTAAAATCAACGCCATATGGATGATGCCAAGGTTTGCCACCAGCTAGAGCAACAGCCAGGCTTTCCTCTCTCTTGGCTGCAGTGGTCAAGTGCTAGGATTGCTAAGCACTCTGACGCTGATTCTGAGAAAGAAATTCTTCATGTTGGCATCTTTCTGAAACCTGGTGTGGCTGCTGCCACCATTCTGTAATCTGGTGTGGCTACCACCTCCATTCTGGAACCTGGTGTGGCCACTGCCTCTATTCTGGAACATGGGTCTCTGCAGCTTTCTCCTCAAAGCAAAGTCTCTCACCCTTGTGATTCTGAGGCTGCAAAGGGCTAGAAGCTGCCACCTCCTGTGATGCCTTCAGGTCATCTTTTCTATTCTCATGTTCCTCCTGGGCAAAGGAAATCTCCATCTTTGCAATCCACAGCCTTTCTGATGCTTTCTTTCTGGCCAAACTCACAACACCTTAAATCATTCTGCTGGGATCTTTGCTCTTCATTCTCAACATATATTTGACTAAGAGCCCCCAACAATAACCATGTCACTGCCCCAATATTTGGCTGCTTTGAGATTTCCTTTGAAAATTTAATCAGTCCTCCATGTTTAATCTCAGTCTCAGGCAAAGTCTCTAGACACAGGCAAAATTCAGACAAACTTTCTGCCAAGTCAAAACACAAAAGATCTGGAATCCAACAACCAATGCAGTCCTTCTTCCCAGCAGAAACCTCCCTAGCCTGATCTTTATAGGCAGCATGTCTATTTGGTCTGAGCTCTGACTAGAATCTTCCCTACCGAACAGTCAAAGCTGTTCCAGTGTTTCTCTTGTAGGCGACATCTCTGAACCTTTCCTATCTCTTCCCATAAGTCATTCCCAAAAGCTTGTAATCCATATGGTCAGGTTTAGCCAAGGCAATGACCCCACTCCTGGTACCAAATTCTGTCTTAGTTACTCTTCTCTGGTTGCTCTACAGCTCCCATCAGGCAAGGCAGAGACAAAGGTGTTCAGTTCTCTGGTCCTGAGCACGGGCAGAAAGAATCCTGCTTTTCCAGTTTCCAGTCTTCTTGAGTGTCCAGATTCCTCCCTAGTTGACCATAGTCTGCTTGGCCCCACGTAAACACCTTGCCAGTTTCTGTTAATGCAGCTGAGTGGGCTGAGCCAGCGAGAACACATATTGCTTTAGAATTCTCTAGGCCTGTAACTCTACTTGATTCCTCTGCTGTCAAAAACAATGGAAGAGTCTGCCCATGGCATAACCGCCGTCCAGATGATGCCAAGCCAGTCCCCCCACTGGAACACAGTGCCACTCACTGTAGCAGCTAGTGCACGCCTCAGTCCAGCAGCAACACAAACAACCTTCTCTCTCAGGAGCTCAATGGCCTGGGGAACCAAACATCTTCGAGGCCCAGGAGGAACACCTAACTGGCCAAAGGCGTTGGATCCACATGATAGAACTTGACCACTTTCTGTGAGCATAATGGTGAAATCCCAGCCACAGGCCACCTGTTGGATGGGACAGCCACCAAGGAATTTGCAGAAAGTAAAACACAGAACATCCTCTGTATGACCAAGCCCCAACTGTCCATCTTTGTTCAAGCCACAAACAAAAAGGCCTCTTCCATCTGTGACATTTGTAGAATGTCCCCCTCCTCCTGTGATTTTCCTGACATACCCAGGTTTGCAGAAGTCAGTCAGTTGCTGGGGCAAAAGCACATCTTGCTTATGGCCAAGGCCAAGTTGCCCATAACTATTTGCACCCCAAGCGAAGAGCGCGGCCGCGGCGGGGGCGGCTTCGGAGGCACTGAGCTCGCGCTCCATGCGGGAGAGCTTGGCAGCGCTTCCGGGAGAGACCGGCATGGGGCCCCATCCAATTTTTTGCCATACAATTTTTCATAGCAATTTCTGATGATAGTTTATTTTTCTGTCTTTTTCTCTAGCCTATCTAAAGCCGTGTTAATTTTATCTTTT